GGTCTCTCCCGTTGCAGAGCACAGGCTCCGGACGCACAGGCTCAGCGGCCATGGCTTACGGGCCCAGCCGCTCCGCGGCACGCGGGATCTTCCCGGCCCGGGGCACGAACCCGTGTCCCCTGCATCGGCAGGCGGACTCCCAACCACTGCGCCACCAGGGAAGCCCAAGACATGATTCTTGACCTTTCGGAGTTCAGTGCATCCATGGGGAAGATACTCGTTAAATAGACCATTGCAACACAATCTAGGAAAGCAGAGGAGGGAAGCTGAACCTGGCCAGGTAGAGGCAAATAGACCGGGTCTCTGGGAGGGGGAGAAGCCAGAGCCCACTGGAAAGGGAGGGGAATTATCTCGGGGAAGAGGAAGGGCTTCCTGGGAGAAGAGCCGCCCTGTGCAAAGGCCTGGAGGGTGAAACTGCGCCCTCGTTCCAGTTGGTTTGAGCCCAACTTGTTGACGGAAGGGTTGGCAGCAGAGTGAAACAAAATGTAGTTAGTTTCACCTTCCTGTCTGTGGTCGGAAACACCCCTGCTGGGCTTCTGCTTGCCCCTCTAGGGGCCAGGAATGGTCCTCTACGCAATGGGGAGTCTCCAGGTGAGAAGGAAGAGTTGGGTTGCCCCACCTGAGGTATGGATCCTGGCTCACCCTCCCCCCGCTGGAGATGCCAAATCCAGCCCGAGAGCGGCCACAGGGCCCACACCTTGCCAGAATTTAGGATGCTGATGATCATGGCACTCTGATTCTCAAGTGAGCGTGACAGGCTTTGGGAGAGGCTCTGGTGATCCCAAGATCGTGGGCTGTCACATGGATCCCAGTGCCTGCAGCTGCAGATAGAGTCATCAACCTTCCAGGAAATGGACGACCAGGCTACTCAGGTTTCACTTAAACTGGATGAGTCAACCTTCAAAGAACCAGAAAAGAGGAGGAAACAAGTGTGAACTGTAGGCATGCAAATTCCCAGCTATAAACAAGGCACAGAAAGGTTGGTTGGGAAAAGCACTATTTTTAGCAAAGAAAATAGAAATGAAGAGGTCTTTAAAAACGTAATAATTCAATCATATTCATTAATCCCTCTGAGGGCCAGGTATTTTGCTAGGAGCCGGGGATAAAAGGATGAGTATGATTTGGCTCTGATCCAGGGGGATTCTCGGTAGCTAAGACTGATATGTAAATAAAAAGTTGTAATACTGCGTATCAAAGGATCTACTAGGGAGATTTTTTTTTTAAAGTGTGATAGGAGCATAGAAGATGGAGTAATTAATTAACTCCTGGGGACTGGGAAGAGAGGAGGTGACACAACACAGAGGGGTTGGGGGTAGGGGAGAACCACTTCTTTTTTTTTCCATTGAAACACATATAATTGCCAATGTCAACCCTATTTGACATAAGAAAGGTCAATTTCATATGGTTTAACCTAACAGTAAGAGCAGGAATAGGATAGAGGTTTCATCCCATCCACCGACACTGATCTAATGATAGTAACTGCCTAGAAACTGTGTTAAGAATGATCCTGAGGATTCCAGGCTAATGGGAAAGGACACTATTGAAATTGATGAGTGGTTTCTCCTGGTTAAGGAATGGGTGGATAGTGGTATAATTTGAACATAGTTGCCATCCTTAAATTCTAAGGAGGTTTATAAAGCAAAGGCACGGAAGTCTGAGAAATACGGGACGTCACAATGGTTATAGACAGTTCATGGTTGTTGGAGTGTCTATGTTGGGGGGCAGATCAAAGACTCAGTTTGGGAGACTCATTAGAAAGCTCAGTCCATACTATATCACAAAGTGCCTCTTTAAAAAAAAATGATTGGAGTATAGTTGATTTACAATGTTGTATTACTTTCTGCTGTATAGCAAAATGATTCAGTTATACATATACATGTATCCACTCTTTTTTAGATTCTTTTCCCATATAGGTTATCACAAAGTGCCTTGAATGACCTTGTAAACACTCCTGGTACTGCTGCTTGTACCCTATTATCTAATTGACTGACTTTTTAAAACAAACACACATTACCGACCCCCACCCAGAAAACACATGGAGGTTACAGTGTTCTTCTCTGCCGCTTTGGTTTTGTTTAATTCAAAGCTTTCTTGTAAGAAAAGGTCACAAAGTACTAACAGAACATACAATAAGTACTTTGCACATTAAATTGGAGGATGTTTTCAGGTAAAATAAAAACCAAGTCCTGTGATGGTATGGATTTTATTTTACAAAGGTCAGAATCATTGCATAAAGACTTTTTTTTTTGCTACAAAGAGGACATCCAAAGTTATTTCAGTCTATTTTCTCAGAATCCACAGCATAAGAAAATTAGGAGAGCATCGTTATGCACTTCCAGGATTTAGTTTTCTAGAGAGAATCTGTGTTGTGTCCCAGTGGGATTCACTAAATTACAGAGCATAGTATTGAAAATTGACCCCAAGGTTTTTAACTGCACAATACTGAAATGCCTTTCTGGATATGTTTTTGCTACAGTTATGTTTTTCTTTGGAAACCTAGGCACCCCAAGAAACTTCAGATCTCGTTTTTAAAGTGGTTTTTAACCAGGGAGCTTTCTCATGATCCGCCTGCCTGGGTCCCCTTCTCCCCAGAATATTCTGATCTGGTAGCTTTCTGTATATCCTATAGAAATATTAGTTTCTTCTAAGATTTCTAGCACTGAGCACAAGCTTACAGGCAGCCCCTGCAAAATCAGGAGTTTCCCTGATAAAGCAGAATAGAGGCTAGGACAAGTCTTTTCTCGGAGATATCCTGCCTCCTGTGGGTTGATCTTGGACCCTGTGCCCCATGATCTGGGTGTGTTTAGTTTGTTTGCTCTTAATCCCTATACTATGCCAGTTTCCTGCCAGAACTGGAAAAACCTACTAAATAGAAATTAGAACATGTGAAGTCTCATCTTACATGTTACAATAAATTATATTTAAATCAAGTAGAAAGAAGAAAGAGCTATCAGTTTAGCAAAGGTTGATGTGACTCAGGCCCATCCAGACTCTCAGTATATTGACTATCAGAGAGGGTTAGTTAATTTCACTCTTCTATCCAGGCTTTTGTGGGAGGAGGAGAAAGAGGGGGCTCGTCTCCAGCTATAAGCGTGGCATAGCAGGTTAAATGTGAGAACAGTCAGGGGGGATCCCTTCAGATAGAACTTCTGTCCATGGAATACTTCTCCTTGTCAAAGATGGGATGGAATTGGCCGACCTCGTGTTGTGGGAAGGGTGGGGTGCCTTAGGGATTTTAACAGAGTCTTTGTTTTGCCTGGACGTAATGTACAGAATCTAGAGGAACACAGGGTGGAATTTGAGGAAACCTTTTTAGTCCCCCTCATGTGACTCCTCTGTTTTGGCTCAATACCTGAAGGATGGTAGTCCTGGAGACCCCCTTTGGAACTGCATCTGGTTTTGAAGTTCAGAAAAGATTCCTGTCTCTTAATGCTGTTGTATGGCAGCCCCACTCTATTTGGCAAACCTCTCTCTCACTCTAGAGGTTCTAACTCCCTTTTGTTGACATTGGGAAAGATACCAAAGGATTGCAGAGCCCCTCCCAAGGGCAAGTCTTCAAGGATGTAGGTGAGTTGACTGGAAGTCAGGGCTACTTCTCCCAGGAGATTGCTTCACAGCGGCTGTGATGACCGGAGAAAGCAGAAACAAATGGGGGTGGCTGACCTTGCCCAGCCAGGGAAGGGAACAGAAACCATAGGAGCCCATTTCCATCATCAGTAACACGCTTACAAGTCCTCAAAGGTCTCTCTCATTCTTCTCAAACTCTTTGAGCTTGAGCTTCGCGGCAGCAGGAGAACAGAACTGATACCCTGAAGATTCCCTAACCTGGTCATCTTTGGAGTGGGTATTATTCACAAGATGTCATAGACTGAGGAGATATCTCAGGATTCCACCACTCTTCCCTGCTATAACACTCCATTTTGCAAGGATAAGCCTGAGACCGTTTGCTTTAAATCAGGGAGAGGAGTGTCATCACTACAGTGCAGCCATGGTCTGCAGGCTTAGGAAGCAGCCTCTCCTGCTGGAAGGCAGAGAGCTTTAGGGAAGAAACTGGAAACGCAGAAGCCAAAAGTGGTCTCACCCGAGTCCAGTATGGGTCCAGGGTGGGTCCCAGGGGTGGCCAAGTTGCTTTAATATTTTCCCTGCCTTATTTCTGTTCTTCCTCTGAAGAACTGTTTCAGAAAAACTAAAATGGGGGAGAGGAAAAGTTTTCTTTAAACATATCGATGCATGCGCTTACCATTTATTCAGTGATTATTACATGCCAGCCCCTGTGTTGGGCACCTCTCCAGTAATACGATTCATAACCCTTCCTGGTGATAGGTATATTCACCCCCATTTTCCAGATGAGAATCCCGAGGCACAGAGAGGTACAGTGACTTATCAAGATCACACAGCTAAGTAATATCTGAGTCAAGCTTGTTGTCCAGTTCTCTGTGATATTTGTAAAGCTCCCTTTTGATTATGCCATGCTGCCTGCATTCCTGATCTGAAACCAGACCCCACTACCCAAACCCCATGTGAAAAAGAATGACATGTGCGTGGTGGGCTGGGCGGGTGGGCTCCTACCAATCCCCTTTGGCCAAGGCAGGGGGCTTCCCTGGGTGTCCCCATCCTGCGCTCGGGCGTGTGGCTGTGTTTTCATTTCTCTGCCTTTCTCGTTTGCATTGCCATGATCTCCCAGGTGTAGTGTGCCTGTCCCCCAACCAGATACCATCTCTCTCTCTCTCTTCCGTAGGCACCGTGCTGTTGTGCCAGGCAAACCAGGAGGGATCTTCCATGTACAGTGCCCCCAGTTCACTTGTATATACCTCCGCAAGTAAGCCCGCTCTCGTGGCTCTTTTTGTTTTGTGACATAAGTCTGAGTCCAATCACCTTCCCTGCCATGTAAGTTCTCTCCCACTCCCTCTGCACCACCCTCCCTTGTTGCTCTCTGTGAGGTGAAGCTGACTCTCATAAGCATGTCTCTGGTTTTCCCTGTTGCCTTAGCATCTAACCCCTCTGCTCGTGTCTGAATCCTCACTTCCCAGCTGTCCCAGCCATTCGCCGTTAGAACCTTTGTCAGGATTGGGGCCAAAGGATGGGACGTGGGGCTTTGGGTTGGGGGCAGGGGGATGGGAGGGGAGGGATATAGTTCATTGCCTTCCTTCTATCACAGCTTTGCAAATGGATGCGAAAATAATTGAAATAACATATGCAGGCCATCCAAGTGACACCCTACCCTAGCAAAAGGTGCTTGGTTGGTGATCTTGGGCACAGTTTTCTCATTGTGGGAAATATTACTAGCCCGTGGCCAGTGACTTGTTTGCAAGGCTGTATTATCCTTTGTGATTCATCTAAGGAGGAAGAAATAAAAGAAAAATGTGGTTCTCTCCCATTTAACTGAAGGGGGGGGGAGAATAATATTTTAAAAAGCACTTTAATAGATAGAGCCATGAATTGCTAGGGAGAGGAGACCAAAAATAAATATGGAACAGAGATCACAGTGTTGGCACGGAAAAAAGTCAAGGATTTCTCTGCCTGGGATGGATCGTCTGGAGTGGAGAATGCCCCACCCCCACCCCAATTCCCAGAGCAGGTTGCAGAATTACAAGTTCTAGCTGAGTCCACCATGGTTCTCCAGCTGGTTTGCCCCGCCTCAAAGTCCCCTGGCGCAGCCGAGACCTTACCCTCTATTTCATACAGTGCGTCTACCCCCCGGAGAATTCCCATAACTGCCAAATGGGTCCTCATTGGGATTGGTGATCAAAAGTGAGTCCGGGGGCCAGAGGGAAGGTGGGCTGCTTCTGAGATCAGCTAGAGGAAGGGGCAGGTGGAGAGCAGAGGCAACAGCCTCAGGGCAGTTAAAAGGATGAGAGACAAGAGGGGACTCTTCACCATGTACCAAGATCTAGCATCTCAATTCCCAAAGACTGAGACAAATCAAACTTCGCTGCAGGGGCAAAGGTTAGAAGCAGTCACAGGGCAGCCAAAAACATCATGGTTATGAGAAAGCCGAGGGTCTCTGAAGTCATCGGGTCATGGGCGTAGCCAGTTGTTTCTCCCAAACAAAGTTTAATCTTTAGCAGAAGCTTTGACATTCCTTAAATGCAAAGGTATTTTTCCGTGTCCCCAAGACGCCAAAATCTAACCATACTGGCGAGAAATGGTTCTTTCTGAATTTATGAATGTTGTCCCATTTGGGCCAGTGTAAATTATTTGCATGTGTCTCCTAGAACTAGAAAGCTACCGCACATTTTCACAGGCTCAACCTTGTTTAATCCTCAAAATCTGCACCAGGTAGGTATCATAATGTTTGCTTTACAGCTGAGGAAATGGAGGGCAATGAGAAGTGGAATGATTCATCCAGGATCACACAGCCAGGATATGGTAGATTTGTTTTTTGAACTTGGTGAGATTAATCAACTTTTGTCTGCTTTTCTGGCTCTGTTTGACTCTAAATCTCATCATCTCTCCATTGTAAATACCTGTCCCTCCTTCTCCATAAATGTTATTTTCCGTAGGAGAGAGGGTGACCCAAACTCACCATAGTCCCAGGGTATTATTTGGGGTTTTCTCTAACATTGTTGTCCTACAGAACTGTATAGAATGAAGTGTTTTATATCTGCACAGTTCAGTACACATGCTCGTGGGACCGAGGCACAGAATTTTTAATTTCATTTAGTTTTACTTAATGTTACTCTAATTAGCCACCTGGGGCTGATGGCTACCACCTTGGACAGCGTGGCTCTCTACGGTTATAATGCTGTATGTATATTTCACTTTTCTTTATAGAAGTGAACAAAACAGATTAACTCCAAAAAAGGGCTAGTTTGGATTGGTATAGCTATTCTAAAGTGACTTGGGAGAAATGTGTCATAAATGTCAAGCATGGAAATATGTCACAAATTCTCCAAGTTAAAATAGGTAGAGCATACAGAGAAAATAAAGTCACCTAAAGCAGGGATCAGCAAACCACAGCCCAAAGGCCAAATCCAGCCCCCAGCCTGTTTTTGTAACACTGGTGAGCTAAGAATGGCTTCTTAGATTTTTCAAAGGACTAAAAAACAAAACAAAGGCAAAAAGTAATATGTGACAGACGTGGGTGGCCCACAAAAGCCTAAAATACTGACATTCTGGCTCTTTACAGAAAAAGTGTGCTGATCTCTGATTTAAAAGGTCCATTTTATTATTACAAACCCAAAAGGGCAACATCATATCACTCTTTATAATTAGACTTCTCTTCTTGAGTTTCAAAGTTAAAATTTATAATAATTAGAGAAACTGTGTCATGTGTCCAACACCCTTCATTTTTTTTTTCAACACCCTTCATTTTTAAATTGTACAATCCATCATATTACCTACAGTTTTCATCCTACTATTTTCACTTATTATCATGTCATATGTACTTTATGAAAATATGTTAATGGCCTCATAATAACCTATCGTTTAATGATATTATATTTTAATCTATCCACCCACTGCGTTGTTGGGTACTTAGGTTGATAGCAATTTTTCAGAAATATTCAGGAAAATAAATGTCCTTGTGTACACTTTGTATATAATAGTTTTAAGGAAAACGAATAAACAGCTAATCCTACTACCCCATAACAAAGCAAAACAAAAGCTAGTTTCTTGCAATAAGGATCTTCGCTTGTCAATTCCTTAAGCAACAGTATTCAGATTGACAAGCTCAATTGGTATTTTGTAAGGACAGCCGACCCTGAGACCCCTCCGGCTCCTCTTGGGTTCCCAGGGGTGTGAGATCGGTTCCATCCCGAGGCAACGGTGCTGAGTGTAAAGATGATCCATCCCTACCTAAGACCCATCGCTAAGGTTTCCTTTCTGCTCTAGTTCTCAGGGTCAGCAATGCCTTTTGTCTGCAGTTAGCTGGCTTCTTTGGAGCGCTCACTTATATTTTCTCTTCCAGATTAAGGTGTATATCCTAGTACAAAGTCACACCGTATTGTCTATAAATAATTCAGCCAGAAAGTAAAGGTTCATTTTTACACGCGCGCACACACACACACACACACACACACACGCGCGCGCGCACACACACACACACAAAATCTGGGGACCAACATACGGTCACCTAAGATTCTTTTCCTTTCTCCAGGCCTGATATACACAGGGCTGAGAGCCACGTGCCTTGTCTTGGAAGTCTGCATGGCATGGCCTCTTTTTCTCTAAGAATCCAGCCTTCTTCCCCAAAGCTGAGGCTCCCTTACGTCTCAGCAATTTTTTTAGGCTACACCAGTGTTTCAACTTGAAAATGCATGTGTTTCTCATTTTTATCTAACAGTCGCGCTCCAGAAGCCAGGTGTGTGTAAATTACACCTTTGTCAATGGGATCCTATGTGTTTACGGACTTTCAGGATTAATCCTGAGTTTGTGCTTTTTTCCATGGATCTTTAGCTGGCCTTGGATGTTTTTGACTTAAATTGCCCCTCTGCCCAGCAGAATAGCTAATCATCTGTAAATAACACCCTTAAGTGCAGTAGCAGAGATGGTTTTTAAAGGAACCCTGCTGAATTAGTCTGTAATGAAAATAATTCCTACTGAAGTTAACTGTTTTTTAAGATGCATTTTTGCATAATGGCTTTTTCCCCCTTTAAGTGAATCATCCTCATAACATGATCCAGAACATGAAAGTATTAAGAGAAAGATTTTCACTCAGAGCTCAATATCAATACAACCGAATCCCATAGATTTTTCCCATCACATTCCCACTGAGTCCAGTATTTCCTCCTTTTCCCCAAACTTTACCCTCATGTGAAACCCCAGTTCAAGTTGTGTCCCAGAATATCCTCTTACGTGTCCTAATAAACCACTTCCATCCATAGTGTATCAGATTTAAATGAAGTCTGATCAAAACTCTGGAGAATTAGGCAAGATCACCTTGGACCAAAAAATTTAATATTAATATTTTGTCTAAAAAATATTAACATTTAATCAACTAAGTTAAACTAATTAAATTATTTTATCAATTTTCAAATAACTGTAATTAATTAATTAACATTGTGTTTTGCTTTGAGTAGCAAACAATGTAGCCCCTCAACAGAGATGTTTGGTGAAAGTGGGGTCAGGGCTGGGGACCTGCTCAGTGCCCACTCCTTCCTAGGGCCAGGGGTCTGGAGGCTCCTTCTGTCAGGGGAAGGGCACCAGCTATATTATTGTCTGCACTGTTTGCATATATCAAGTGGTTGCTTATATCAAAAAGGCTTCAGGCTGAGAGTTCATTAGTCTTTTCCAGATAATCCAAAGTAATGGTAAATTTAGATAAATGTAAATTTGAGTAGATGTATTAAATATTAACAAAATCAAATATACTGACAGCAGATTATTTCTCTGTTAAACAATTATACACTTGAGAAAAATTTGAGATAGTTCATATATAACAAATCTGATCCAAGAAAATGCCTGAATCTGAAATCATGGTAGTGTTCAACTAATTGAAAATCCTCCCTGCAAATCAAGCACTAACATTTGTGAGTAGTGAATTCCTCCCTCTTCTAAAGTTCCTCAGGTTATTATTCGACAGATCTTGGGAGCTCTTAAATTTATTTTCTTTTGGTTTAGTGCATCTTCAGGTGTCCTTAAACCTGACCTAAAAAAAAAAAACAGCTTAAGGCAGAAATAGGAAGGTGAAGAGCATATCACCTTTCTTCACCTTTCTTCCCAATTAAGAGATTACCTCCATTTTACTTAGTTAAAATATCAAGAGGTAAATCATTGGTTCCATGAATGGGAGCACCCACTTCCAATTTGGATTAGCAAAGCCAGCTCTCACCAATCCCTATTTCCATATGGAGTAGTGTCCAGAAATAGGTAAATGCT